AAAAAAAAAAAAAAAACAGAGGTTTATTTGCAAAGAAAGCCTTCAAGTTGTTAATAATCAGCTCTAACAGCAATGTTCTGTTGATTCGAATAAAATGAATTTAATTTTTTTACTTAAGATTTTAAATTTAAATCTTGTGAATGGACATATCTCGAGTTCAAATCTTATGAATGGAGAAATGGGTATTGAGAGAACTTTTTTCTAACAGGGCTCGATGTGATTCAATTTTAAATTAATCGAGATTTAACGTGATTATCAAATATTAAGCCGTTAAAAAAAAATAAAAATAAAAAAAACCCAGCTCCCACAATAGCTCAAAGGATTCTGGGGTATCGACCACTCGACGTGGAGACAGCACTACATTATCCAGGGCGAATAGCTCTTTTGGCACGTCAGGCTCTTTCTCGAACACATCAAGCTCTGCACCGCCTAGCTCTCCCTGCACCAGGAGCTGCACCATTTCCTTCTCTTCGATAAGGGCTCCAAGCCAACATTAATAGTCACCCCTTTCTTTCCTAATGCTGTCATGACATCCTTACTGACGATATGACGGGTTTCTTCTGTAAGTGCACAACAAAGTACAAGTACATCACTGTTGGCTGCTAGGTCACGGACATTGGCATAGGAGGGAAATGGAACAGATGGTTTCTGCCTCCTTGAGTTGTAGGCAATGCTGCGTACAAAGGCCGCCAGCCTTTTTTGCAATTTCTGAGCCAATGTGTCCCAGCCCCACTATCTCAACACGCTTTATTTCCCCCTAACTGCAATTGGAACTTTATAGAATAAGAACCCATCTGATACTCTGAAGCCTCGATTAGATGAATTTGTCATGCTCATGCATCACAAAAGCGGGGATGATTAGTAGTTCTTTTGTGTACAAAACCTATACGTTGGGGAAAATGTCTTAAGTACGAAGATGTTATGAAGAGCAACATTTCTAGTGAATACACCAATGATGTTAATATCGTACCGTACTGGCCGGTATGGTTGGTACGTACCAGTTTTGGCATTTGACCGAAACGGTACAATGTCAATTTTCGTTTTGGTCAAATTCCGAGCGTTTCGGTCAAAATTCAGTGTACCGACCGGAATTTCGGTGTACCGGCCGGTACACCGAAATTCCGCCCGGTACACACTGCAAATTAAAAAAAAAAAAGATTCCCCTAGCCCAAAACGACGTCGTTTTGGGTTAAGGGCTTTTCATAACCTGCAACTGTGTCAGTATAACTCAATTCAAATTTAAAAGGGTAAATTTCATTTTTGATCCTCAACTTTAATGTTATTATAATTTTTATCCTTTAACTTTTTTATGTACT